GTAGCTGGAAAGTACTCTGACATTTAACGCAATGAACCATAACTTACACAGCAACATTACTAAATTAACACTCTTGTGACAAAAATACTGTTTGATGTAGGAGCTAACTTAACAGACGAAATTGTTCAATTGCCTACAAGTTCCAAGATCGCATCAGTTGTTTTCAGGGAAAGCAAAATCAAAGCTTACTACTTGAACCGATCTTCAACGATACAAAGCAGTTTCATCAGGGACAAAATTCTTCGCTGTTGACACGCAATCTGCTTAACGCTCTGCAGACTTAAAGAAATGGTAATTAGTTTTGTTTACAATACAAAATTTAAAGTTAAAAACGATATATTCCAGATTGGACTGAAACTTGTAAACTTAAACAACCTTTTCTAATTGTAATTTTAACTATAATCCAGAAGGCCGACACTTTCTTTATGGTTTGGCTGCAATCAGTACGCAGTAATAATCTCCTGCATCAGTATAAACTGTCAACGGTTTAGAATTTTCTCCGCTTGTGTACTGAGTACAAAACCTCGATACCTTATCTCTCGTGGCTAGCTCTGAAACAAACCTGCCTTGATTAGTTGCCAAGATAAATGAGCACAAGCTTTCAACATTTTCGAACTCAAGATCCTCCATTTTGACGTCGACACTTTTTATGATTTCGAATCCTGTAGCCGAACACATCTCTTCAATTTTTGACCTTCTCTCGTACCAACGTTTACTTCGCATGCGTTCCATGCTTTCTGAGTTTTGAAGTTCACCATAAATTTTATGTTCGATGGAATGTAAGCGATCGCCGTAAGTCAGGACAATTTTCCCTGCTGGTTTCAGGCTCCGAAACATGTTCTTGAATGCTTCTTCTTTATCCTGAATCCAGTGAAACACAAAGTTGGAGAAGACGATGTCGTAAGTCTCCGAGTCCATTCCTGGGAAGCTGGCAGAGCTTCCTTCATGAAATGCGAGATTTTTTACTTCCCTGTGTGATTCTCGCGCCACTTCTACTCGATAACTGTCGGGATCAACGGCAACGACTCTTCCATCTTCTCCTACGAGCTCGGACAGATACGCAGACAATTCTCCAGTACCGCAGCCCAAATCTAGGATAACATGTCCTCGATGAATCTCTATATCGTCAATCAGTATTTTTCCATGCTCTCTTTGAAAAACCGACACTTGCTGGTAACTCTTTGCAACATTTTTGGAACTGGACATTTTGATTACTTGCCCAAGCTTAGGCGACCGAATCGTAGTAAAGCGTGCCCGTGTGAGATTCGCAAGGGACTTGGCACTAATAATTGGTGTTGACATGATGTTCAACCATCTTTGCCACTGCACAGAAAATAAATGCAATTCTCAAGAAAAGACCTGTCTATTATTATATTTCACATGAACCTAACCCACCTTCCCGCACAAGGGGGCCCAAAAAAAAACAAAATAAATTATCATAATTTTAACTTAAGAACACGCGGAAAAGACACGACACATACAGACAGGTATACGTAATTCTTCCCAAAAAGGCTTTTTAGAAGAAAGGTACATAGTACTATTAGAATGTAAATACATAAATATAAAAAGTAAAAAATTTGAAGTCAAATAAAAAGGTAATTAATGTTTTATTGAATAAGCAAAATATATAACTAATAAAAATTATAGGCATTATTGTAAATGAAACAGCTCTCCTAATTATTTAATGTACAAAATTAATGAAGAAAATTTTAGCCCTGATTATTAAAAAAAAAAACGCCCGCTAATAAAACGCATACGCTACAAAATATGCTGCCTTTATTGACATAGTCATTTCTGTTATTTCGCAAATAACCTCCCTTCCTTACCCCCTTAGGAAATTAAAATTAACACGCCCTTCCCTTACGATGAAGCCTGCTAAACAAACCAACATTTTATCTGACCATAATAACCCTGCGTTACCCGCCTGCGCAGTTGTTGAAAAGTACTCGGACATTTTGCGCAGTCAACCATAACCTACACCACAACATGACCTAATTAACACTCTGTGACAGATATGAACTAGGTTAACACAAATATGATACAAATATGAACTAGGTTAACAAAGAAATGTTCAAGTTACTAAATAATAAATGCTACCGAGATCGCATCAGTTGTTTTCAGGGAAAGCAAAATCAAAGCTTTCTACTTGAACCGATTCTTAACGATACAAAGCGGTTCCATCCGAGACAAAAATTCTTTATTGTTGACACGCAATCTGCTTAGCGTTATGAAGCTACAAACTTTAAGGTTAAAAACGACAACTTCCGGATTCGAATGGAACCCGAATACTTAAACAACCTTCTCTAATTGCAATTTTAATTACAATCTAAAAGGTCGACGCTTTCTTTATGGTTTGGCTGCAATCAATACGGAGTAATAATCTCCTTCATCAGCATATAACGTCAACGGTTTAGAGTTTTCCCCGCTTGTGTACTGAGCACAAAACCTCGATACCTTATCTCTCGTGGCTAGCTCTGAAACAAACCTGCCTTGATGAGTTGCTGCGATAAATGAGCACATACTTTCAACATTTTCGAACTCAAAATCTTTCATCTTGACGTCGAAGCTTTTCACGATGTCGAATCTCGCAGCCGAACACATGTCCTCAACTTTTGACCTTCTCTCGCAATAGACTTTGCTTAGCATACGTTCCATGCTTTCTGAGTTTTGAAGTTCACGATAAATTTTATGGAAGATGGAAGCTAAGCGATCGCCGTAAGTCAGGACAATTTTCCCTGCTGGTTTCAGGCTCCGAAACATGTTCTTGAATGCCTCTTCTTTATCCTCAATCCAGTGCAACACAAAGTTGGAGAAGACGATGTCGTAAGTCTCCGAGCCCATTCCTGGGAAGCTGGCAGAGCTTCCTTCTTGAAATGTGAGATTTTTGACTTCCCTATGTGATTCTCGCGCCACTTCTACTCGATAACTGTCGGGATCAACGGCAACGACTCTTCCATCTTGTCCTACGAGCTCCGACAGATACGCAGACAATTCTCCAGTGCCGCAGCCCAAATCTAGGATAACTTGTCCGCGATGAATCTGTACATCGTCGATCAGTTTTTTTCCTTCCTCTCTTTGAAAAAGCGACGCATGCTGGTAACTCTTTGCTACATCTTTGGATTTGGACATTTTTGTTACCTCCTCAAGTTTACGCGACCGAGTCTTGGTAAAGCGTGCCTATGAGAGGTCTTCAAGGGATCTGGCACTAATAAATATTGCCAGACCACCTAAAGAGCTCTCGCCGTCTTCTGTTGTTCAAGGCACCTAAAGTTATTCAATGAGGGCTTGCTCAAAGGCTATCAATTCGAGAGGGTTTTTGGTGGCAGCGGCTCTTCCCTAATCTGAATTTTTCGCTAACTTGTTTGAAAATGTATTTTCTATATTCACGATGCTATGACAGAGGCAGTAGAGTCTTCTGTGCGATTTCTTGCCCAAGTAAATCAGGTATCAGGTCCGACTCAGGCCCTCAGGTGGTGGAAGCGAGGAAAAGAGCGACCGCGCTATTGTTTATTGTGGGTATGATTGTCAAGGAAACCGTCACGGAACGACAACACTTTCGAAAGAGTAATTATTCCTTGCTTCAAGTTCACGATAAATTCAGATATTCAGGTAAATTGACTGTGATCACAATCCAACTTCATAAAAGTTTATATAATGGATAGCAAAGTGTTTCCATTTTTTCGTGTTTCCACGCGATTTAATAAATCATTCGTATTTCTTGGGTATGACTATAAGCAGTTAAAATTCTTTTCGCGGGTTCTTCCGCATCGTTTTTACGCGGCTCCGCTAAGTTTATTGTTTGCTCTCTTCCCTCTTCCTCAGCAAGGCAGGTAATTAGTCTCTCATAAAGAGACTTAACCCTTTAATCCAAAGAGAGACTAGCATCTAATTTCTCCACACAATATCACCCCTGGATCACACATTAAGGTCATGAGAATAAAGGAAATGATCACCAACGAAAAAAGCTTTGATCAGTTTACAAATTCTCCTTGTCAGCACCTTAGGAAATGTATATAGAACAGTATGGAGAATATGCTTACTGATGTTAGGGTGTGAAGGGCTAATGAGGCGGAATTACACAACTTTTCTGGAAACAGCTGTATTTGTCATGCCCTAATTTTCGTTTGTACAACAAAAGCAATTATAATTCTCTACCTAGTCTGCTATCAGCGGAACAACATGACCGACCGGCAATTCGTATGTGACAGTAAAGAAAAAAACCGCAAACAATCCTTATAAAACGACAGTGAGATACTACTGTGTGTAGATTCAACTGGAAACCGTCGTTATTCCGGAAAAGAAAAGTTGAAGGGAGAATGCATACTGCGAAGTACCAGCAAAGGGAAACTAGTCCCTTGTCATGTAACCAAAGGAAAAGACGAATCAGGCAAAAAATTTAGTCGCTTTCTCTCTATATTTGATGTAATCAACACCCATCTTTATTCACAAACTACATATAACATGTATGTTCAACCATCTTTGCCACTGCACAGAAAATATATACAATTCCCAAGAAAAACAGCTGTCCATTATTATTTTTCACATGAACCTGACACACCTTACCGCACAGGTGGCCCAAAAACAAAGAAAAGAACTTATCATAATTTAAACTTCACAAAACACGCGGAAGACTCGGTACATATATACAGGTATACTTAATTCTTCCCAAAAAGACCTTTCAGAATAAAGGTACATAGTACAATTAGAATGTACGCAGATACGTATAAATATAAACAATTGAAGTCAAATTAAGGAGTAATTAATATTACATCGAATTAGCAAAATGTATAATTAGCAAAAAGTTTCCACAATCTTGCAAATGAAACATTTCTCCTAATGGTTTAAGAAGCAATACATAATGAAGAAAATTTTAGCCCAATTCTCTTTTCTACGTTCTGTTTCAACAGAAGCGCTGATTATTTAAAAGGAAAAAACCGCATATGCCACAAAAAAATACTGCTTTTAATGACATGGTCATTTCTGTTATTTCGTAAACAAACTCCCTCCCCTACCCCCTTAGGAAATAATAATTAACACGCCCTTACCCCACAATAAAGCCTGCTAAACAAACTACCACTTCATCTGACCGTGACAACCTTGCATTACGCGCCTGCGCAGTAGCTGAAAAGTACTCTGACATTTTACGCAACCAACCATAACCTACACCGCAACATTACTAAATCAACACTCTGTGACAAAAATATTGTCTGATGTAAGAACTAACTAAACAGACGACATCGTTCAATTGCCTACAAGTACCGAGATCGCACCAGTTGTTTTCAGAGAAAGCAAAATCAAAGTTTACTGCTTGAACCGATCTTCATCGATACAAAGCGGTTCCATCAGGGACAAAAATTCTTCGCTGTTGACACGCAATCTGCTTAGCGCTCCGCAGACTTAAAAGAAATGGTAATAAGTTTTGTTTACACCACAAAATTAAAGTTAAAAACGACATATTCCAGATTGGACTGAAAATTCAAACAACCTTTTCTACTTGCAATTTCAATTATAATCTAAAAGGCCGTCTCCTTCTCTATGGTTTGGCTGCAATCAACACGTAGAAATAATCTTCATCCATGAAAAACGTTAACGGTTTAGAATTTTCCCCGCTTGTATACTGGGCACAAAACCTCGATATCTTATCTCTCGTGGCTAGCTCTGAAACAAACCTGCCTTGATTGGTTGCCGAGATAACTGAGCAGAGGCTTTCGACATCTTCGAACTCAAGATCCTCCATTTTGACGTCGACACTTTTTACAATTTCGAACCCCGCAGCCGAACATATCTCTTCGATTTTTGACCTTCTCTCGAAATAGAGTTTGCTTAGCATACGCTCCATGCTTTCTGAGTTTTGAAGTTCTCGATAAATTTTATCGATGATGGAAAGTAAGCGATCGCCGTAACTCACGACAATTTTCCCTGCTGGTTTCAGACTCCGAAATACGTTCTTAAAAGCTTCTTCTTTATCCTGAATCCAGTGCAACACAAAGTTGGAGAAGACGATGTCGTAAGTCTCCGAGTCCATTCCTGGGAAGCTAGCAGAGCTTCCTTCATGAAATGCGAGATTTTTGACTTCCCTATGTGATTCTCGCGCCACTTCTACTCGATAACTGTCGGGATCAACGGCAATGACTCTTCCATCTTCTCCTACGAGCTCGGAAAGATACGCAGACAATTCTCCAGTGCCGCAGCCCAAATCTAGGATAACTTGTCCGCGATGAATCTGTACATCGTCGATCAGTTTTTTTCCATGCTCTCTTTGAATAAGCGATAATTGCTGATAACTCTTTGCAACATGTTTGGAATTGGACATTCTGATCACTTGCTCAAGCGACCGCATCTGGGTAAAGCGTGCCTGTGAGACGTCCGCAAGGGATCTGGCACTAATAAATAGTGCCAGACCACCTGAAGACCTCTGGCTGTCTTTTGTCAAGACCCCAAAGCCAGGGTCAATTTGGCTCCTTGTAAGCGGCATGGTCGCAAAATAATGACCTCTGGGAGAATGGATTAATTCTACTTTTTTTATTGCGTGGTTGATAGGAAAACGATGGACTCCACACAGTATGAGTGATTTACGCAAGGAATCAATCGGGCCGGAAAAAGAGCGTTTTTTTCTACGGTTGTTATTGCTGTTTTTTTTCACTTGTTAACTACTAAGCGATGCGTGAAAGATATCCAACCAAAGCCGTTGCGTGCTCCAGTGGCGGAAAGCTGTTCTTCATAGAACGATGGATTGCTGCCGTTGTTGTTGAAGACGCACAAGTAGAAATAAATCATTATATTAATTGTTTTGAATAAAAAGCAGAAAAGAAGGTATTGTAGAGACCGTGCAAGCGTAAGGAAATGTACCAGTGTAAAAGAGTTCGGCAACGACTCTTCCATCTTGTCGGACGAGCTCGGACAGATACGCAGACAATTCTCCTGTGCCACAGCCCAAATCTAGGATAACATGACCGCGATGAATCTCTACATCGTCGATCAGTTTTTTTCCTTCCTCTCTTTGAAAAAGCGACACTTGCTGGTAACTCTTTGCAACATCTTTGGATTTGGACATTTTTGTTAATTGCTCAAGCTTAGGCGACCGAATCTTGGTAATTAGTGCCAGACCACCTGAAGACCTCTCACCGTCTTGTGTTGTTCAAGGCCCCCAAACAGCCAAACTTATTCAAGGGCGAAGTTGCGCTTGTACATTGGACCCCATTATAACGAAGGCTTGCTTAAAGGCTATCAGTTTGAAGGGGTTTTTGGTGCCACCAGTTCTTTCCTAATCTGAATTATTCGTTAAGCTGTTTGAAAATGCATTTTCTACATTTTCCTTGCTCCAAGTTCACGACAAATTTGGAACTCTCCCTTTACTTAAGGTTAAAAAATTATAGTGTAAAGCGTAGTTTTTCTTAAACTAAAAATGAAACGAAGAAACAGTGCCATGCCACAATAGCCATGTTGAAATGCTACGAATTACGCAGATCTGTGATATTTTTTATAACGACTTGCTCTAATGATATCTTCAGTCATGCGTACTCACGTACACCTTAAAAACAGGAAGATCTAATGGAATACGGTTACGCCAGAGTTAAGATATACGTCAGTTAGAATTCTATTTCCATCATCGAAAAGTATTTCTGGTTAATTCATAGGTACTGACATTTCCTTTCACGATATTTCCTCGCAATCATCTAACTATCTGACTGCTTCAGTCTTTTTGAGAGAAATACAAACATTCTTGTGCTGTTCTCGCTAATCATCCCAAGCGCATAGCCAGCTATACGACATGTACTCAGTTGTACCTGTTTTACAATAAGACTGTATCAGAGTCAGTTAAAAGTTTCATAGAGAGCCTGAGGACAAAATTCTTAGAACCTTTGCCGAAATCAAGAAATACTGTTACATTTTCGCTGTCAGAAACGTCCTGTGCTTCGCCTTTTTAACCACATCGGGAAGCACGGGAGGCCTTTTCGCTTCTTCTCTCGGTCTGAATAGAAGAACATTTGCAAAAAGCATCTTAAGGAAGTGCTTCAAAAGAGCGAAGATGATATCTAAGCTATCTTAGAGAAAGCCCCGGAATCAAGGAAGTAAATCAAGAGGTACCTTAGATCTAATAAAATACAACGTCCATGTTTCACTGTACTTACTCGATTCCGCCATGATGCTTGCTGCCTGGACAAAACTACTTACCAGTACCATAGAGGGCTACCGTACCAAAGTGTTTCCATCTGATTACATCGCAACTAAAGATGCCTTACACGATTTAATAAATTCTTCGTATTTCTTGGGTATGACTGAAAGCAGTTAAAATTCTCTTCGCGAAGTCTTCTGCATCGTTTTTACGCCTCCGCTAAGTTTATTATTTTGCTCTCTTTCCTTTACCTCAGCAGAGTGTTTTGAATTTTTAATGAGGTCCTTTTGGGTCATCCCTTTTAACCACGACCCTCTTCATATGACTGTGAGAACCCTGCGTTAGCCGCCTGCGCAGTAGTTGAAAAGTATTCTGACATTTTGCGCAATCAACAATGACCTATACCGCAACGTGACTAAATTAACACTCTGTGACACAAAATATTGTTTGCTGTAAGAACTTGTTTCACAGAGGAAAATGTTCAATTTCCTACGTCATAAATGCTACCGAGATCGCATCATCACAAAATATATGATAATAAGCCTTGTTTACACTACAAAGTTTAAAGTTAAAAACGACATATTCTAGATTCGACTGGAACCCGAATACTTAAACAACCTTCCATAATTACAATTTTCATTATAATCTAAAAGATCGTCACCTTCTTTACGGTTTGTCTGCAATCAATACGCAGTAATAATCTCCTTTATCAGTATAAGCCGTCAACGGTTTAGAATTTCAAACTTGAACTTAGCTGAAAAGTTTTCTGACATTTTGCGCAATCAACCATAACCTACACCGCAACATGACTAAATTAACTCTCTGTGACACAAAATATTGTCTGCTGTAACAACTAACTTAACAGAGGAAAATGTTCAATTGCATGCGGCATAAACGCTTGTACCAAGATCACATCGGTTGTTTTCAGGGAAAGCAAAATCAAAGCTTACAACTTGGACCGATTCTCAACGATACAAAGCAGTTCCATCTGGAACAAAAATACTTTGCTGTTGACACGCAATCTGCTCGGCGCTCTGCAGAATTAAAAGAAATAGTACTAAGTTTTGTTAACACGACAAATTTTAAAATTGAAGACGACGCATTCCAGATTCGACCGGAACCCGAACACTTGAACAACCTTCTTTAATTGCAATTTTAATTACAATCTAAAAGGCCGACACTTTCTTTATGGTTTGGCTGCAATCAATACGCAATAATAATCTCCTTCATCAGTATAAACCGTCAACGGTTTAGAGTTTTCCCCGCTTGTGTACTGAGCACAAAACCTCGATACCTTATCTTTCGTGGCTAGCTCTGAAACAAACCTGCCTTGATTACTTGCCGAGAAAAATAAGCACATACTTTCAACATTTTCGAACTCAAAATCTTTCATCTTGACGTCGATACTTTTCACGATGTCGAATCCCGCAGCCGAACACGTGCCCTCAATTTTTGACTTTCTCTCGAAGTAAAGTTTGCTTAGCAACCGTTCCATGCTTTCTGAGTTTTGAAGTTCTCTATAAGTTTTATGGTAGATGGAAGCTGAGTGATCGGAGTAAGTCAAGACAATTTTCCCTGCTGGTTTCGGGCTCCAAAACATGTTCTTGAATGCTTCTTCTTTATCCTGAATCCAGTGCAACACAAAGTTGGAAAATACGACGTCGTAAGTCTCCGAGCCCGGCAATGACTCTCCCATCTTGTCCAACAAGCTCGGAAAGATACGCAGACAATTCTCCAGTGCCGCAGCCCAAATCAAGGATAACATGTCCGCGATGAATCTCTAGATCATCGATCAGTTTTTTCCCTTCCTCTCTTTGAAAAAGCGACACTTGCTGGTAATTCTTTGCAACATCTTTGGATTTAGACATTTTTATTACTTGCTTTAGTTTAGGCCATCGAATCCCGCGAGAGGTCTGCAAGGGATCTGGCACCAATAATTAGTGCCAGACCTCTCGAAGACCTCTCGCCGTCTTGTGTTGTTCAAGATAGCCTATGTGTAGCCATACCCTCCCCTCCCCCCAAGGTGGTGAGAACCTTGGGGGGAAGGGTACGTCTTCACTTAGGCTATTTCCAAGGCCCCTTAACTTATGCAAGGACGAAGTTAGGCTCGCGCATTGGATCCCTTATAATAAGGGCTTGCTCAAATGCTATTAATTTGAGAGGGTTCTTGGTGTCAGTAGTTCTTTCCTAATCTGAATTTTTCGTTAACTTGTTTGAAAATGGATTTTCTATTTTCACGATGCTATGACAGAAGAAATGGAGTCTTCTGTGCGATTTCTAGCCCTAGTAAGTCAGGTATCAGGCCCGACTCAGGCCCTCGGGTGGTGGAAGCGAGCGAAAGAGCGAACGCACTATTGTTGACTGTGGGCATGATTGTCAAGGAAACGGCCACGGAACGACAACACTTTCGAAGGAGTAATTATTCCTTGCTCCAAGTTCACGATAAATGTGGAACTCCTCCTTTTACTTAAGGTTAAAAAAATTACAGTGTAAAGCGTAATTTTTTTTTAATTCAAAAAGGAGAGATAAAAGCATGCAATTAGTTAAGTCCTCCAACCTCGCTCGAGCAATTCAAAACACGGAAGTTATTTGTGAGGACTTGAACGATCACATTGAGTGGAAGAATGCAAACGAATCTTCTTCCTCGACAGACCGCTGACCATCAATGTGTAAACCCCCTTAGAAAATAAAAATTAACACGCCCTTCCCTTACAATGAAGCCTGCTAAACAAAGCGCCACTTCATCTGACCGTGATTGAAAAGTACTCTAACATTTTGCGCAATCAACCATAACCTACACCGTAACATTACTAAATTTAAACTCTGTGACGCAAATATTATCTGCTGTAACAACTAACCTAACGGAGGAAAATGTTCAATTTACTGCGTCATAAATGCTATCGAGATCATATCAGTTATTTTCAGGGAAAACAAAACCAAAGCTTACTACTTGAACTGATTCTAAGCGTTACAAAGCGGTTTCGTCACGAACAAAAATGTTTTGTTGTTAACACGCAATCTGCTTGGTGCTCTGCAGACTTAAAAGAATTGGTAATAAGTTTTGTTTCAGTACACTACATTTTAAAGCTAAAAACGACATATTCCAGATTCGAATGGAACCCGAACACTCAAACAACCTTCTCTAATTGCAATTCTAATTACAATCTAAAAAGCCGACACTTTCTTTATGGTTTGGCTGCAATCAGTACGCAGTAATAATCTCCTTCATCAGTATATAGCGTCAACGGTTTAGAATTTTCCCCGCCTGGGTACTGAGCACAAAAACTCGACACCTTATCTCTCGTGGCTAGCTCTGAAACAAACCTGCCTTGATTGGTTGCCGAGAAAAATGAGCACATACTTTCAACATTTTCGAACTCAAGATCCTCCATTCTGACGTCCACACTTTTTACAATTTCGAATCCCGCAGCCAAACACATGCTCTCAATTTTTGACCTTCTCTCGAAATAACATTTGCTTAGCATAAGTTCCATGCTTTCTGAGCTTTGAAGTTCACGATAAATTTTACTGAAGATGGAAGCTAAGCGGTCGGCGTAACTCACGGCAATTTTCCCTGCTGGTTTCAGGCTCCGAAACATGTTCTTGAATGCTTCTTCTTTATCCTGAATCCAGTGAAACACAAAGTTGGCAAAGACGATGTCATAAGTCTCCGAGCCCATTCCTAAATTTAACAATATCCCCCAATGACTGAATAAGAATATCTATGTCATTTATTTTTTCAAATATATCAAGTGTGCCATTAGGACTGAATCCTATAATAAAGTACTTAACACTTTTTGCTTTTGTTTTCATATTATTGTGCTGAAAAATACATCTGAAGCAATAATTTGAAATCCACATTAAAAACCCAGTATTATCCTTAGTATTATCTGTGATTAACTTCTGAAGTAATTATTTGCCTTGTTTCTCCAAATTAAAGGCAATATTAATATCTGCATCATAAATTTGAAGTGCCTTTGGGAAATTGTTGATAGTCAGTGGATGGTTATCACCATGAGTTTTTTTTTGCAAAACTTATTTGTATGGTCAGTGATTCTATCTAGAGTCTGCAAATCCAGTACCCACAATATTTGATAATGGAAAAACAAATGCTATAAAAAGATGTGGCACAACAGCATAACAAGGGAATATGAATGGTTGTAATTTCAGCATCTGCATGATTTGCTTTGAGGGGGACAGCTGACAACTGTCAATCAGAAATATGTCATTTCTTATTGTTTTTCATTAATATGTACACCTTTGAGTTCAAATAAAACATCTGGATTTTGATAAAGACCTTGAAAATAGTATATCAGCTCATTTAAGGTGTTAACTTCTAACAGTACTTAAGTTCCTTGAGGATGGGGCATACCATATGAATCTCTACCAGAGAATCAAATATCTTAAACTTACCATCACCATCACAGTAAAAACCTACTGAAGTACTAAGGATTGTTAAAAAAAGTAATTTTATTTTTGTCCTAGCAAAGCCTGCATGGCATTAGCAAATGACATACAATAATTGAAATCTTGTACTTCACAAGTACCATGTATAGTACCAGTACAGCTTGGACCATATTGAAGCTGATAATTAATATCAAACACTATTATCATTTCAGGTACTTCTGTTAACAGTAACTAGGATTGCCTGGATAGACTAGATAGACCAGAATACAATTCATTTCCAATGTTCATGATATTTACTAAGTCTATTGAGGATACAATACCATTCCCCCTACACATTGGGTGCCAGCATTTAACCCAAACGTTTCCACATTGTCTTGACTGAAAGGAGCTTGAATTGTTTTAGTAGGATTAACCTTGTTGTTACAGCAAACAATATTTTGTGTTACAGACACAGGACCAGGGTTTGTTTCTATATCCCCAGACAGACTGGACTTAAAATGATTTACCCTGTGATTCAGATTTTTATAAACATTTGGTACTGAATTAGACCTCTATGCATTCGACTGCTTTGGCTTTGGACTTTTAAGTACATGTGGATATTGGTTCTGCATTTTCAGTATCCTGTATTTGTCAGACTTTCGATATTTTCCCCTAACTGCAGAAGAGGGATATTTCGTTTTTCCTTAATTCTCACATCTGATTCCATGTGCATATATTTTTTGCACGAGCTTTATTTATTGCATTCGGGAAGACTTCGGTATGCTTTTTGTATAGGTAATCACATGAGGCCAAGTACTATTAAGGATTAATTGCACGAGAGTTTTGGAAAATTTTGAAAACTCAAGTGCAATTAATCATTAATAGTACGAGGTCTCATGGGATTACTTGTTTATCAATAAAGGGCAAAATTTATACGAAGGAAAATCACGCGCGCAGTCTATTTTTATCTGGGAAGCAACGGATTAGCAATGCAACGGATTAGCCAATCATTAACAGGTAATCATGCCCTCTCTTGATTACTAAAAATGCCCTCGATTAAGAAAAAAAAGGCCTCTCTCTCAACCAATCAGCGCTCAGTAATTTTGCCCTTTATTGATAACTGATGTAAGTTCGAAGTAAACGTTTTACCTTCCTGGATTTCTTCAAAACACGTGTAATTCTTTTCTTTGGTATTCTGCTGGGCTCACGATCACGAACACGAATGCCTTGTGTACGAGGGCGATTAAAATAAACAAATTTGTCGTATTGAGATCTACAGTTACAGACCGTATTTATTGAAAATGCTTCATCGTTGCTATCATTAAGCTTATTATCACGTACAATAACAGATAACTAAGCAGCTTTCTCAAAGACGTTACATTCGTCGAAGCTATTCATGGCAGCTTTTGTTGGAAACATCAATAACTTTACGTAGAAATTAGCCCACAAGATAATTGCGTAAACAATATAGATAACGTAATAACATTAGACACAAAAAACGCAGGATTTTGGATCACGTATTTATTAAAAAAGAATATCCATACAACTACAATGAAAACAAACATAAGATTCACCTTTCTGATCGTGAAATTAATACCATTCGTACTGTTATCGTAGCTACGTTTCTGGCGTCTTTCGTTACAAGCAGTTTGCATCCATTAGAGTTTTGTTCTTCAGTCTCACGGTAGTAGTGTTGTTCAATAGATTCAGTAGAGTATATGCAGTTTACTTTCAGATTTAAGATTTTGCTTTTTTCAACAAGTGTACGTTTTTCAATTAAGACATTGGCATACTTGGCATACAAGGCATACAAAGCTTTCATAGCTTTCAAGGCATACAAGGCTTTCATGGCTTTCAAGCGTTCGCGACCCAATCCGTTCCAAAAATACCGCTCAATAACATCTTTTAGTGTGGATTGGCCGCGAACAATACGACTTGTGTATGCGTCTGTAAGTATTTTGAGCGTTTGCACCATAAAGCTCCAGGTAAACGTAAACCAAAACCGTGACGCCTCCATCGCCAAGACAACTACCCCAAGACAAATACAAAATGGCTAAGAAGAGAGTTTTTTAAGCAAAAATCTCGTGGTTCGTCATGTGACCCGGCCCTGTCTGTGCATGACAACGTCAATCATCATCAAGATAACACACGTGATCAGCTAGTTGTCATGGTGTTTAGGGCCCAATGATCAATGGGTACTATTGCGCAATTTTTCCATTTTGTGGCGGAGAAAAAAAAAAGACGACCAAAAAACAAAGGCGTGTTATGACTGGGCTACCACAGGTATCCCAGTAAAAATTACAGTGTAAAGCGTAGTTTCTCTTAATTCAAAAAGGAGAGATAAAAGCATGTAGTTAGTTAAGTCCTCCAATCTCGCCCGAAGTTTTTTCTGAGGAGTTGAACGATCGCATTGAGTGGAAGAATGCAAACGAATCTTCTTCTTTGACGGACTGCTGACCACCAATGTGTAAATAACTCTTGAGCATTAAACGAAAAAACAAGGGCCACGCTATAATAGCCACGTTGAAATGCTACGAATCGCACCAGGCTGTTGACTGTGGGTATGCTTGTCACGGTAACGGCCACGGAACGACAACGATTTCGGAAGAGTACAATTTTTCTTTTTCCCAAGTTCATGAGATAAGTGTAACGCTTCCTTTCACTTGACCATCAGCCAAAACAACGCAGATATTCTGATAAATTAACTGTGATCACAACCCAACTTCATAACTTGGGGTAAAAAAATTTAATATGATGGATTACCTCTTTAAAACCTAGGAGTGACTAGCACCTAATTTCCCCCTGCAATATCACCCCTGAATCACACATTAAGGTCATGAGAATAAAGGAAATGATCACCAACGAAAGAAGCTTTTGATCGGTAAACAAATTCTCCTTGTCAGCACCTTAGGTGATGTATAAATAAGAGTATAGAGAATATGCACACTGATGTTAGAATGTAAAGGTTTAATGGGGCGGAATTTCACAACTTTTTTCGAAACAGCTTTATTTGTAATGTTCCTAATTTTCGTTTTACATCATGGCACAGCTGCGAACAGGAGAGGGCTCGCACTTAGAATGTTTTACTTAACGAAAGCGATTCTAATTCTCTCTTTCGTCTCCTTAGCCCAATTCCCTCTTCTACGTTCTGTTGCAACAGAAGCACAGATTATTAAAACAAAAAAAGCCCACTAATGAAACGCAGACGCTACAAAATAAGATGCCTTAATTGACATGTTCATTTCTGTTATTTCGCAAACAGCATCCTTATCCCACCCCCTTAGGAAATAAAAATTAACGCGCCCTTACCGGGCGTGAAATTAATTTTTTTTCTGATAGCCAATTGGCTCCTAAATTCTTCAAAGAGGTAGCCAATTCAGAAAAAGTTGGTCGCCATTTTCAATGACAAACAAAACCTTTTGCTAGGCTGTCAGCGTTCTAGATAGACCCTCCAAAATTAAGTAAGTTAGGGAAAAGATCTTTAACGTGCTACAAAGTGGACATTAGGATGGATGATATACAACGTTCAAGCTCACCTAAATCCAAGATGGCGTATAGTTATCGATCGAGCTATGTCCTGGTGTACCGGTTAACCAAAATATGTCCTGGTGTGCCGGTTAACGAAACTTGCGTGACATTGGTCAATCGAATAATAGCGTGACAGCTAGATAATTTGATAAATAATGAATGCTTTGATAATAAAATACAATAAAATGCCGGCATTGGTTCATTGTTGGGTTATTTGAGTCGTTTGGATCTTTTGGATCAGTTGGGTCATTCGGGCCAGTTGGGTCACTTGGGCCAGTTGGGTCATTCGGGCCAGTTGGGTCACTTGGGCCAGTTGGGTCACTTGGGTCAGTTGGGTCACTTGGGCCAGTTGGGTCACTTGGGCCAGTTGGGTCACTTGGGCCAGTTGGGTCACTTGGGCCAGTTGGGTCACTTGGGCCAGTTGGGCCAGTTGGGTCACTTGGGCCAGTTGGGTCACTTGGGGCCAGTTGGATCAATTGGGCCAGTTGGGCCATTATGAAATCCGAGAAGGCCCTGAAACGGGAAAGGGCTCTGTTGGGCCCAAGCCTCTCTGAAAAGCCTCGTTTAGAAGTTATTAGATGGCGGAGTGATTTATCCGCGTGTGGCGATGAAGATAACTCAGGAATTGCTTAGCTATGTTCAGCATAATGTTAAAAAATATGAAGATCACTTACTTCAGGACGGAAAGGTGGATGGAACTGCAATTATTGAGCCAGGGCAGCAGTTAAACCCAGACTTCCGTAGTCCTCCTGACGTTGGCGACTAT